AAACATCAAAATTTTTTTTTTCATTTAAAAATAACAATTGGTACAACAAAAAAAAACACTTAAAGACAATAAGGGGTAATTTGACAACTTTAAAAAGGAATCCATTTGCATAATATAAAACTTGTGGAAGAATCTGCCTTACCAGATGAAAATCTTTTTATTTTTATCTTACAAACTTTCACAAATGTAAACATCCCTGTAACTACCATTACAGTTAAGAAATAGAACATTTCCATCATCCCAGAAAGTTCCCTCATACTTACTTTGCCAGTCAATCCCCACCACCACGTGTACATGCACACACACACACATACACAGACCTAAGCAACCACTGATCTATCCCTATAGATTTCTATCCTTATAGATCTGCCTTTTCTCAAATTTCATATTGAAATCAGTTCTCTTTTGTGTCCAACCTCTTTACTGCTGATATTTATACATATCGTTGCATTTACCAATAGTTCATTTCTCTTTACTGCTGAAAATTCTATTGTCAATATATCAATTGCTTATCCATTCGTGTCTTCATATGGCTATAATGCTCCTATGAACATCCCTGGTCTTTTTTTGCCTTCCTTTCCATTACATTCCGTATTTACCTAACAGTCAAATTACCAGATCATATGGCAATTGTACATTTAATTTTGAAAGTACTCAAATTATTTTCCAAGGTGGTTATATTACTTTACATTCTTACAAAGCAATGTATGAGAGTTTTACAACATGTGGTATTACTCTCATCAGTTTTCTTCATTCTGTGTGTTTAGTACGATCTCCTTGTGGTTTTAATTTGCATTTCCCTGGTGGTTAAAAATATTGAGCATTTTTATATGTATTTAATGTTCCATTGATCTGCATGTCTGTTGTCACACCAATACCACACTGCTGCAATTAGCGCAGCTTTATAGACAGTCTTTAAATCAGATGTGTAAGCCCTTCAACTTTGTTCTTAACCACAGCATCTCTTCCAATCCATAAACTTGGTATATCTCTCTATTCAGGTCTTTAATTTGTCTCAACAATATTTTATAGTTCACTGTATAGAGGGTTTCTTTAATATAGATCATTAAACTTTACTTTTTTTTTTCCTTTTCTTTTTTTACCCTAAAGAGAGGATATGTTGCCTGAGCTGCAATTGACTCCTGGGCTCAAGTAAGCCTCCCATCTCAGCCTTTAAAGTAGCTGGGACTATATGCACATGCCAGTACAGGAATCTCAGCTCACCGCAACCTCCGCCTCCCGGGTTCAAGCAATTCTCCTGCCTCAGCCTCCCGAGTAGCTGAGATTTCAGGCACGGGCCACCATGCCCAGCTAATTTTTCTATTTTTTAGTAGAGACAGGGTTTCACTATGTTGGCCAGGATGGTCTCGATCTCCTGACCTCGTGATCCGCCCGCCTCGGCATCCCAAAGTGCTGGGATTACAGGCGTGAGCACTGCCCAGCTCCCAGCTGCTTTTTGATGCTCCATTAAATAGTATTGCTTCAGTTTCCAACTGTATATTACTAGTGTATATAAATAATTGATTCTTATACACTCACCTCATATCCTCTGACTATTCTAAATTTATTAGTTCTAATAGTTGTGTGGATTTCTTGCGAATTTCTATGTACACAGTTATATTATCTAGAAATAAAGACAAGTTTTACTACCTCTTTTCCAAGCTGTGAGTCTTTTATTTTTCTTGCTGCCTGTAGTAAAGTTGCCAGTGCAACGTGGAACAAAGGTAGTTAAGGCAGGCATCCTTGCCTTGCTCTCAATCATTAAGTGCAAGGTTGGCTGTGGGTTTTTCACAGATTCACTCTGTCAGGCTGAGAAAAATTGCCCTTTATTGCTAGGTTAGGGAGTTTGTAAATGAATAGGTGTTAATTTTTGGCAAATGGGTTTTCTTTAACTGCTGATATAATCACCGAATTTTTCTCTTTCACTCTGTTGATATGGTGAATTACCTGATTCAATAAACTTACCTTCATGGGACTAAAAACAAAATTTTGTTTATGACACTCTACCTTTTATATACTGCTGGATTTGACCACTAGTTTTTTGGTTTTTTGTTTTTTCATTGTTTTTGCCTGTTTCTTACCCAGACTGGAATGCAGTGGCACCATCACGACTCACTGTAACCTCTACCTCCCAGGCTCAAGCAATCCTCCCACTTTGGCCTCTCAAGTACCTGGGACTACAGGTGCATGCCACCATGCCTGTCTATTTTTTTTGTATTTTTTTTTGTAGAGACAGGGTTTGCCATGTTGCCAAGGCTGGTCTTGAAGTCCTGAGCTCAAGCAATCAACCTGCCTTAGTCTCCCCAGTAGAGAAATGGGGTCTCCTGTGTGGCTTAGGCTGGTCCTGAACTCCTCTCCTCAAGAGATCATCCCACTTTGGCCTCCCAAAGTGTAGGGGTAACATGTGAGCCAGCACATCAGGCCCAATACTTCTCTTAACATTAAATTATCCCTATATATTTAAGTCATATTTGGTAGTTTGAATTTTTTAATATATGACTACTTTTTTATATTTATTACTATTTTGAAAAATAATTTTTGCAACTATACTCATTAGATTATAGTTTACTATCTTGTGACATCATTTTCAGAAATAGAATAATCCTAATTGGATTAAATGTATTACTTTTAAAATCAGGGAGAAAGTTACAAAGAAATAAACTCTGAAAATCATGGTAATAAAACTCCCGATATCTACCATTTTTTAAATATTTATTTTTCTTCACATTCTGGGACTCTGATTACAAAATCTTGACAGATCATTTTTCATCCCATTCTACATTTTAGAGTATATATACTATTATACATATACTATTTTATATATACATATATATATGAATGAAACATTCCTGAAACACTGCTCCTGAGACAAAAATCTACCTTTCAAATAGATCTACCACTATCCTGAAATCTCCCTTTGTAAAATCAAAACGTTTCCAATATTAGTGGCTTTTCTCTCTTCCTGAAATTCTCTTCCCCTAGATATTTCTACGGCCCCACCCCTCACTTCATTTAGCTCTAAACTAAAATGTCACTACTTTAGTGAAGCCTTCCTTGGCTGCCCTAAAGTACTCCCTACCATCTTCTCTATCCAGCTCTAGTCCTGAATTATTTTTCATAACCTGAAACATTTATCCCCAGTGCCTAGAAAAGTACTTGATAGACAGTTAAGTGGTGAATTAATATTTGTCAAAGGAACAAATGAATGAAATTAAGTGGCCACTTATGTAGCATACTACAAAAAATTCCCCTACTCTGGGGCCACACTACCTGAAATGCTCATTAAGGATATAGCCTTCTTCTCACTTCCTCTACAAAATGTGATCACCCTATAAGACTACCACATAAATCACTAGTCAACAGTAACTCGGTAAAGTCATTTCATTTATGAGAGTCTTTCCTCCATGATAATAAGTTCTCCTGGCCATGAACACTGAAGTTCCATGTAAAGGAAGAAAAATACAAGGGGCATTCCAGAAACAAATTGTTGTCCTCATTTTCCCCATATTTTTTTAAATTATTATTTTTAAAGACGGGGTTTCACCATATTGATCAGGCTGGTCTCGAACTCCTGACCTCAGGTGATCCACCTGCCTTAGCCTCCCAAAGTGTTGGGATTACAGGCGTGAGACACCGCACCCGGCCATTTTCCCCATATTAATGATACCTTTCAATCAACACAAGGTAAAGATATTCTGCCTATTATTCTTGGTGCCTCCCCTCACAGGGTTAAAACAGAGCATAAGTATATGGCAGGAGAAAGCATTTAAGGAAAAAGCACTATTTGGTCTGGGTGATCTAGAAGGGGATGGCAGTTCCCCAAGTCCCTAATGTCTTCAGTGAGTCATTCCTGGACGTGGTCAAACAGAAAGTGAATCTTGAAAAAAGAAATAGACATTGACCATGGGAAGAAAGTATGTTCTGTAGCTGTGGCTTCTCTTTAGGGACTTTGCACCAGTTTTGGATTTGAATACAAAAGAAACACTTAGGAGTTTTTGAGTCCACTGACAAAAGAAAAGGAGGACCTTCACTTTACCCTATTCCCAGTAAATTTGCCCACAGCTGATTTGGACCTTAGAAAAATGTGCAGATACCAAGGAGGCAAGAAAAAGAATCCAGACTACAGAACACACAGACTGATGTCCTAACTTGTTTCTCAAACATGCCATTATACTGTTATACTAGTAGCAAGCACGAATAATGCAGCATCTTTCACAGAAAATAGAGAAAACAGCTTTTTTTTTAACATAGAAAACTCTCCATTTTCCCACCTCAACTCTGAACAAATATTGTCCATTATTATGACAGCATTACTGAATTATAATTTAGATCCCTTCCAATATTCACTCTTTACTGAATGCTGGGAATAGAAGCCAGAATCTGGAAGCCCATGTATTTCTAGTACTGTTATTTTTTATTCTTATCTAATTCTTCAGTGTTATCAATAACAAAATAACCAAATAAGCTAATGATTCAAAATTCTACATGCATACAATTTCAAAACCTGAATTCATTTTCTGACTTGCTAATTATCTAAATTCATAAGTATTTATATGAAATTAAAATACAATGGATTTCTACACTGATTTAGATGTAATAAAATCAAGAAACAAAGATAAGTAAAGCATATACAAAATTTTAACTTAGAATGAATCTAATTTAGGTATTTGGGCATAGTATATACCAGTATATACCTACACTATAAATCCAAGACAATGGGTTTTATCAGGGATTTAAATTTAACTCTCTACTAATACTGTAGTGCTCTTTCCATTTCTTTCCTCCCTCCAAGTTCATTTGCTCCAACAATTCACCAGTCCTGCAGTGCCTTCCTCAACCTTCTATTACCTAAATTATACAAGGCTACATGGCATGTACATGTATAATTTCATGCTTTATACATTTCTACTCACAAATATCTGTTTCCTATTAATTTCAATATTAGTTCATGCACAAATTTCTATGAAGAAAATAGAAATGGAATTCATTGAATGCCTAACCTCTTGATTTTCTACTCCATTGCTGGAAAGCTCCAAAACAGTACCTCCACTGTCAACCACTGCTGATGTCATTGTTATTCCCTGAGGAAGCTTCAAATGCTATAATCAATGAAATTAAAGGTTCATGGATGGTTGCCAGTGTTATAAGTTTGCATTATCATGTTTTAAAAGTCAATAGACATGGAGTGGAGTAGATATCCAGAAATTCAGTCTTCGAAAGATGATTAACCAGACAGCCTAAAAAGAGGAAGAATTTGAAAAGTTATAAAAAAAATTACAGGAAGGACATAAAGCGTAACTTATTTTGCAATCTAATTTTAACACTGAACTAAGAAAAAGAAGATAGGCTTCTATATCCCCATGTCAAAAGAGGGGAGTATGAACATTCTACTTCTTAAGAGTCAGTGATCAAGATCATGAACATACTGAATAAGCTCTTAACAAGCAATTGTACCTAGGTAGTATTTGGATATTTATATTCTAGTAGATAAAATGTTATCACTTTCTTCCTTTATGAAGAAAGTTCATACACATTCCATACATATGAAGAAATATGCTTTATTCCTGAAGTATGTTAGTTTCTAGAAATGTTAAAAATCTCTTATTCATTGACTATATAAAATGTGCCAGACTGAGACAACTTTTAAAACTATTTGCCCATTTAACAAATTAAAAGATTATTAATTCTTTTTTTTTTTTTTTTTCTTGAGACAGAGTTTCACTCATGTTACCCAGGCTGGAGTGCAATGGCGCGATCTCGGCTCACCGCAACCTCCGTCTCCTGGGTTCAGGCAATTCTCCTGCCTCAGCCTCCCGAGTAGCTGGGACTACAGGCGTGCACCACCATGCTCAGCTAATTTTTGTATTTTTAGTAGAGACGGGGTTTCACCATGTTGACCAGGATGGTCTCGATCTCTTGACCTCGTGATCCACCCGCCTCGGCCTCCCAAAGTGCTGGGATTACACGCGTGAGCCACCGTGCCCGGCCTTATTAATTCTTAAATATTTCATTCTTCTTCTTTGCCTCATCTGGTTTGTTTGTTTGAACAATCAGAACTGTCTTTTGCTTAGGCAGCAATCTCATTTTGTATTTACACTTTGAATACAGGAACTGTAAGACAGACTACTTTGAATTGCTTATATTTTCAAATAAAATAGTTTAAAAATAAAGCAGTTACCACTTGGAATTCCTTTGATATTATTTTATCATACTTTACTCAATTTTTTTGATATTAGTTCAAAATGCAATATAGCAAATGGTTTCAAGTAGTCTCTTAATCTCTTACATTTTTTCCCCTTCCTACATTATCTGGATTTATGCAGTCAATTATTCCTAAAAAGTTACTGTTTATTTGATTTTGTATATACTAAAATTCTTACAGAGGAAGTACAGAGATTTATTACTAAAAGAATTTTTTCATTTCAAAAAGAATGCATAAAAATCAAGCATATCTGTTAAGAGAAAGTATACATTTCCCATAAATCATTCCATTAATATTATGCCTTTGTATTATGTTTGCCTACTGGCATCATACAGATATGGAAATAAAAGAATAAAGAATTTCTAGAAACTTCCAGAATAAAATGAAATACCTGAAAAAAGCAGAAATTTCATCTTACTGACCAATACTATTAGCCTCCTTTTTGATCTTATAAACACAAAATGGAATAGAAAGTCTTTGTATCTTAAGAAGAAAAATTAATAAAATTCCATAGTCCCATCATACTATCACCATATAAGGTAATAAAAAGTAATAACTATTCCTAAATTCTGTTTTCTAAACATATATATAATAATAGCAGAAATAAATTTTACTTACAATTTGTATGTTAAGTAGTCTAAGCATCCTTCACTATTTTCACAACTTGGGAAAAGCTAAAATCTGAACCAGAAGTTCTTTGGAACAACTATTGGGAGGGGAAAAAGACAGTGTTAATATAATTATATTAAAAAGCACTTTGCTCAAATAAATGTGATCGAGATAGCAAACGCTTAATACAACAAATCACTTCCAAAACCATATGACACACATTCACATAAGGAATATATTATTTCTAGGTTTTTGAGGAATCAGAAGTTTTTATCAAACTTAAATTTTTTTTTTTTTTTTTTTTTCCACCGTGCGCGGGCCTTTCTTTTATTACCAAGTCTGGAGTGCAATGGCACGATCTTGGCTCATCGCAACCTCCGCCTCCTGGGTTCAGGCAATTCTCCTGCCTCAGCCGGGACTACAGGCACGCGCCACCATGCCCAGCTAATTTTTTGTATTTTTAGTAGAGACGGGGTTTCACCATGTTGACCAGGATGGTCTCGATCTCTTGACCTCGTGATCCACCTGCCTCGGCCTCCCAAAGTGCTGGGATTACAGGCGTGAGCCACCGCGCCCGGCCCAAACTTAAAATTTTAATTCAACACTACATAACAACTATTGAGTGAGGACAGAACCAATATACGAAGCCTATGCTCCATACTATGGGCTGCATTTCAAACAGGTCCTTCTGTTTTGTTTTTTTCTCATAAGGTAAGTTCTAATAACAGGTTCTGAGTAAGTGGCTACAGGTATAACCCCTGCCCCCAAGAAGTATAAAATCAAGTTTGAAAAATAACACCAGCCCCAAAAAACTACTAAAAAAAAACAATGTTTAAGAGAAAAAAATTTTTTTTAGAGTTGAGGTCTCAACTCTGTCACCAAGGCTGGATCGCAGTGGTGAGATCATGGCTCACTGCAGCCTCAAATTCCTGGACTAAGCTATCCTTCCGCCTCAGCCTCCTGAGGAGCTGAAACTATAGGCATATGCTACCATGCTCAGGTCAGTATTTCTCATTTTTTGCTTTTATTTTTAAAGATAAGATATTGCTATGTTGCGCAGGCCGATCTCAAACTCCTGGCCTCAGGTGATCCTCCCACCTCAGCCTCCTGAGTCACTATTAGACATGCTCCTGCTATCTCACCCCACTAACTTAACATCAGCACACATCCAAACATCCCAAGCCCTACTTCTAACTTCCAAGCCTCCTCAAATATTCCTCCTTCTTTCAAAGTCTAATGTATTGACTTACACACTTGATCTTAGGCCTTGCTACATCAATTATTTCCTTTTTCCTTAATCTTCTCTTACTAATATCGGGCTCCTTTTCCTCATATAAGCATTTGCAAGATCCTCTCATCTTAAAAGTAGAAAAGTTGGCTGGGCAAAGTGACTCAGGCCTGTAATCCCAACACTTTGGAAGAGGGAGACGAAGGATCACTTGAGCCCAGGAGCTCTTCACCAACCTGGCCAACATAGAGAAACCCCTGTCTCTACAAAAAAATAAAAAACTGAGCCGGGCTTGGTAGTGCAAACCTGTAGTCCCAGATACTTGGGAGGCTGAGGTGGGAGGATTACTTGAGCCCAGGAGGTTGAGGCTGCAATGAGCCATGATCCTGCCACTGCACTCCAGCCTGGGTGACAGAGAAAGACCCTATCTCAAAAAAAAAAAAAAAATTATCTTCCATAATCCTGCATACCTTCCAGCTACCACTTCAGTTCCTTCCTTTCTCAGGTAAGTTTCTAGATGAGAAATCTTGTATACTCTGTCTCTGCTTTCTAATTTCTCAAGTACTTCTCCTTCTATGATCCATCCCCACTCAACTGAAACTTTTACTCTATCCTGTTGTAGAATCCAATAGATACATTTCTGTCTTCATAGGACTTGATGCGTCTGAAGCATCTGGCACTGTTAATCACTCCCTTCTTGAAACTCTACCTTGAGGCCAGGTGTGGTGGCTCTTGCCTGTAATCCCAGCACTTTGGGAGGTCAGGAGTTCAAGACCAGCCTGGCCAAGATGGTAAAACTCTGACACTACTAAAAACTACAAAAATTAGCCGGGTGCATGGCAGGCACCTATAATCCCAGCTACTCAGGAGGCTGAGGCAGGAGAATCACTTGAACCCAGGTGGCACAGGTTGCAGTGGACCAAGATTGTGCCATTGCACTTGCACTCCAGCCTGGGTGACAGAATGAGACTTCATCTCAAAAAAAAAAAAAAAAAAAAAAAAGAAGAAGAAGAAAAAGAAACTATCTTGAATTTAACTTTTCCCTCTCTAGTTACTCCCTTTCAATTCCCTCTTGCAGGCTCATCCCTCATTTTCAAGGGGCCTGGGACAAGAAAACAAATAGAAGTCTATCTATATACCATGTGTCTAAATATTTTTAAAAGTTCTAAGTCAAGCTGTTAAATTATTATTCCATCCCCCTATCTTGACTAATAACAATCTGAAAGGCCAAGTTCTATTTTTGAGTTCTCAGGCTCCCTTCACGTTGTGTAGGGGGACATAGGAAGAAAAGTCCATATCCTTTCCCCTTGTCTGCAGCCACCTCCTTTTCTTGTCCCATCTCTAGCTCCATTTCATACTACGAAGGGCGTTATATGCACGATATATAAAGCCCATAGGTCCAAGCTCTAGTCACATGCCTGCAAACAGCTGCTCCTTGGCCATCCCTTAAACACAGGGGATATGTGTTATACAGTCAAGAGAGGAGAGAATCAGAGAAGAGAGCCGTGAAGGGACATATGTGCAGGAAATTCTAGAATCAAATATTCAAAGATTGATCTACAAAGAGACCAGGTAGACTAGTCACCTAGGCCCACCACACAAAGTCCTCACTCTATGTAAAGGGGTATAGCTGCTGGAGGAAGGCCATGTGAGGACCTTTAAAGCACAGGCCTTTTTTTCCCACTTGGCAAAGTCTTAGGACAGTGCTGCTCTCCGGTCAACGCTTACAAGGTGAGTGTTTCCAGGATCCTATCCCTAGTCCTTTTCTCTTCATATTCTTTGCGTTCTTTCTGAGGTATGAGATATACTCCTACAGCTTCATTCAAATCTCTCTTCCAGCATACAGTATCCATTCCTGTGTACTCCAGTTTGTCTACGAGCTGTTTTATTGCCTCTACTTCACTGAAATTAGATAAGGTATACATAAATACTAAGCACTGATGCCAGGATAACCCAAGCACTCCATTCATTAATCCAATCATGCAACAAACACTAAATGAGCATTATTATATGACAGCACAATTTTAGGTGCCCAGGTCCGGTAGTGAATAAAGGCAAAGTCGCTGTTTTTATGGATTGAGAGAGAAAAAACAAAATAGTATACCATGCAGGTAAGTGATAAAGGCTAAGGAATTAAATTAACCAAAGAGATAGGGATTATTTGGCAGGAAGAGTTGCCATTTCAGATTGAGTGGTCAGATAACAACTCACTAAAAAAGTGACATATGAGTGAAGACCCAAGTAGAAGCAAGTTGTAGCAATGCCTAGGGGAAGAGCCTTCTCATCAAAAGAAATTCAACACCTTCAAGAGGACATATACCTGACTAGTCAAAGGATCAGCAAAGGGACCCAATACAGCTGAAGTGAAGCATGCAAGAGGAAGAAAGAATAGTTGAAGAAGAGGTCAGAAAGGAAAGGGAGCCAAGTAGGTTCTCTGTAAGGACTTTGACTTCAGGGAGAAGGAAGGTTTTAAACAAAGAGATGATGTGATTATTATAAGGCTCATTCAGATGCTGGGTTGAGAACAGACAATGGGACAAGAGCAGAAACAGAGAGGTCAGTTAGCAGGCTGCAATAATATATGTTGTGCAAAAGTAACTGCAGTTTTGCTATTACTTTTAATGGAATATAAACTACTTTTGCACTAAACCATAATTAGATGAGAAGTAATACTGGTTGAGACAAGAGTGGTAGTTGTGGAGGTAGTGAAAAGTGATCATAGCTAAGCACAGTGGCACATGCCTTTGTCCCAGCTACTTGGGACAGGAGGTGGAAGGATCACGCCAGGCAAGTTGAAGCTGCAGTGATCCCAGATCTCACTGCTGCACTCCAGCTTGGGCGACAAGGAGGACCCCGTCTCAAAAAAGAAAAAAAAGTAGTCAACCTTTAGATATATTTTGCAGATAAAGGGATGAGATTTGCAAGCAAAATGGATGTGAACTGGGTTGGTACGAGAGAAAGAAAGAAGTCAAGAATGAATCCAGAGCCGGGCGCGGTGGCTCAAGCCTGTAATCCCAGCACTTTGGGAGGCCGAGGCGGGTGGATCACGAGGTCAAGAGATCGAGACCATCCTGGTCAATATGGTGAAACCCCGTCTCTACTAAAAATACAAAAAAAATTGGCTGGGCATGGTGGCGCGTGCCTGTAATCCCAGCTACCCAGGAGGCTGAGGCAGGAGAATTGCCTGAACCCAGGAGACGGAGGTTGCGGTGAGCCGAGATCGCGCCATTGCACTCCAGCCTGGGTAACAAGAGCGAAAACTCCGTCTCCAAAAAAAAAAAAAAAAAAAAAAAAAAAAAAAAAAAAAAAAAAGAATGAATCCAGGCTGGAAGATTCTCAGATTATGAAGTAGGATGCACCAGGAATCCAGGATACAGATCTAGACGTATCCCTATCTAGACCACAATTACACCGGCAGAATCTACCTAACATAATAATTTTGGAACTCTGGAAGATACTAAAGGCTTGCAACCTCCAAGAGAAGACTTGGACAATAAATTGTGGTTAATTTCAGTCATTTCAGTTCTCAGTACAGAATCAGCTACCCATCCCCCAACTCAAAGGTAGACAGCTGTGCATGTGTTTCTGGAACAGTCTGCATGCAACTTGTGAGGGCAAAGGTAAGCAAAAAGCACTATCTTCCAAATAGCAGGGATCTGTGCTCTGATCACTGATTATTACTTCTGATCACAGAGGGCACACAAAGAAATGACAGACATTATTGTTATGCCTCCCTTCACTGTTGCCTCTCCCCCTCGGGCCGAAGTCATTTCTAGGGAACTTAGAAGGCCAGCAAACCCCCACCCCCCAACTTTCTCTTTTTTCCCTTTTGAGAGACACACATTAAAGACTAGGACATTGAGGCCTGG